ATTCCTTCGGTAAAAAGTACCAACCGAAAAAATTGTTAAGTAGTTTAGCTGTAGGATGCGCTTATTTTCGTACTAAATTCCTTGACCTCGTCGGTCATTTTCCACCTGCATTTGGGCGAAATCTATTTTCGTAAATTTCGTGGGAAAAAAATTTTTTTTTTTTWAAACTAACACCTCGATTTATTTTACACTAAGGGCTATCTTAAAACAAAATATGAASGAAATCGATTTTTTGACTTGTGCCGATGTTTGGTCGACTCTTACAGAAAGTCGCTCTTAAAGGTTTCAAAAATTATAAATGAATATTTTCATGGAGTTTTACTATTATTCCCAGCGTGTCAACTTTATACCCTCAAAATCGGGACTTTAATTTAGTGGATTCAATATTTTTAGTACCCAGAATATAGGTACGGATCACAGGGTCACAGCAGTTGTTTGCAAAGATGTTTTGATTATGATAGTGGTTTTTCAAATGATATGTTGTTAAATTTCTTTGTTTTATAACAAGATAATAAATTTACAAAGTACGGGATTCCTGTGGTATTTACATTTGCTTTTATTGAAAAATCTGTCCAGTTATTCTTTTGTTTCTTTGAATATATTCCTTTGAATATATTCAAGACTATACTTAATTTTGATATAAGTGCCTCAGCTGTAGCGAAGAACAGCATCAGACAGATGGTCCTCGTGCGAATACAAGACTTCAGATGGACCTCCAGGCTGTAGGACCTCTGCAATCTTCAAGTAATACTGCGCGGTGGGCTTGTTCGTCCATCCTACGTGACTCATAATGTCAGCTAGAGGGGAACCACACAAAGCTAACATAATCGCTGCGAAAACTATGTAAAGTYTCGCCCTCATAGATATCAGCTTCTTCTAAGTAGAGGCACAGGCGTGATTTGGCGCTGTTAATTCTAAGGAGGGAGTTAAGCACTTCTCCTCGAGCATTTGTTGGTCGAAAAAGATATCCAGCATGGAGGATCGTTGCCCAATTTCTTTAACAGCTTTGCCACAGAAGGCCAGGTTTTATAAGGAATGTTTTCATCCTTGGTTAATTCATAAAGACTCTGTAATTGTTCAAGTGTTTCTTCCTGGGACCAACCATACTTAACTTTAGAGGCAACTATTCTCAACATACACTTCTCCAGCTCCTTATCAATTCTATCTTCATTGTCAGTTTCTTCCTCACTTTCACTTGAAGAAGCATGTGACACAGTTGGTGACTATTGGACAGAGGCATCATCACTTAGATCATTTTCATCATCTGACAGACAAGCATGTGACGCTGTTGGTGACAATTGGACAGAGGCATCATCACCAAATGAATCATCACTTAGATCAATTTTATCATCTGACAGACTAACTTGGTTATCTGCAGCCATAAGAGAATACACAGGAGGAGGATTGTACACATCAGCTCCTGTAGCATTAATTGTGATATGATTAACGCCCTAGTTGATGTTTTCATCCACAACAAAGGTCCATCCTTGTCATTGTTGGAGTCGTAAGGATGGAACTGGAAATGTTTTCGARCAGTTCTTTTATCTCKAATCTTTCCACAGCATAYTTTRCAGTTACATGGGATTTTGTTGTCATTGGAACCTAGTTGAGGAAAAAAGGATGTTAGCATCAAAACATAAAAAGGAATATTCTATTTGGAAGAAGAAAAAAAAATTGAACTTAAAATGCCCACAAAAAATTATTTCGAACCACAGAAGTCATAATTTTGTGGACATAAATGTTATAAAAAGTAAAGCATTGAAAAGATAATTTTAAATGAGCAGTAAATGGGTTGATACACATTTCTGCAATTGAACTACCCTGTGAGCAGAGGTTTTTTTCTGACCCTCCGACATATATTGATAATGATTATAGGATATTTCTTATTTATCATATATTTATAAAAAAAGTAGATATTGAATTGCTATATTTTTATTTTTATCAATTTCGTTGTGATTACATTGTATTATATAGCATGACATTTCTGAAAAACAGTTGTACTGAGTATTTTAACTGTGGATACATAAAGTTAATTGATTGATATTTTAAAAATATTAAAAAAAATATGTAATGAAATATTTTCTATTGCTTTATCTTTTTTTTTTTTTAATGGCTTATCTGCCCGATTTAATAAGATATTGTAAACAGATAAAAATAATAAGAATTTATGAAAATGACAATTAAATCGCAAGACCTCCGTGGCGAGTACAAAAATCTGCAATGCATTGTGGACCATTTTAAATATTGTGTTAATACTTTATCGCGCGTGAGCGGGCTTACGAGTAATTGAGGAGATTTCGGGAATAATTTTACGGACAGCACTTGACGACGAATTGAAGTTTATTACAATCCAAGAACTTGTCGTAAACTAGAGTTAAATGATACAAAGGGCGAAACTTAATTACTACTGGAAACCTGCATAACATTCCAGTCATACCATTACGGAAATACATGCTTAACAAAGAATGATATAGTGAATCACAAAAAACATAGAAAACTAACATAATATTGTGGCATAGATGAATTACATTGAGATTAAAATACTATAACATGTAGCATAAACTTATAGGCCTTTAGGCGTAAAGTGATAACATATAATACACACCCATAGGTATAGTGGGCTTCCAATCATGCATTCTAGACTATAAACTATTATAATAAGAAACAAAGCGTACTTACATAACAGTCCCGCTTGCCGAGGTTAAGATATAGTTTGCTCCAACAAAGATAACTAAAAAACTACTATAAACTCTTTGATCACAAATAGATGTGTTCTCGTCGACTTCATACACTAATCTAACGCTAAGTGGAATTGAGACGTGTTGTAACTAAGTGAAACGTTAAAGATATGACGTAACTAATAATAGATACAAAAATAAAGTGTTCGTGGGCGAGGCTGATAAGCCTTCCTTTACATATTGCGCTCGCTCATCACTGAAGTTTTATAATAACAACACAGTGAATCAACACACTTGCTTTTTATGCTCCTTTATTCATAAAAGTGAGCGTTTCAGGTAGTTATGAAAATTCTAAATGTTTTTGTTATAGAAAAATGCTCGAGGCTATAAATTATTATTATTGTTATTTTTATTTTTATAATTTTTTCAGGCGCTATCAGCTTACATGTGCTTTATCGAAAGGGCTTTTGGTCGTCATTTTTTATTTATTTAAATCCACCTTGAAAGCATATTACATGTCAAACCTATTTTCTGTTTTATGATTTTTTATCCACTTGCATTTTAAAACACTTGAAGTCGACCGTAGTCGTTGGTAGGGGTGACTTTCTTCGTCGAAATGTAGAGATTTTCTTTCAGTTTCCTAGCGACCGGATAAAGTCAAGCAGTGATGTTTTCACGCAAAAACCGAATGAGACGCGTGTGCGCATAGCTTTGGGTGCCAAAACTTTGAAAATGTTTCATCTTCGGTAAGTACGAGTGTTTTCTCTGTTTTTTGTTTTCTTTTTTTTTTAATACTCAAATACTTTCTGTGGTGAAAAACTACATCCGAATACCTTGCTAAGGTGTTCAAGTGTTGACTAGTCAAGTTTGGTGATTGAAGATAACATTTTAGGGCATCTTTTAGTGATAATTTTCCACAAAACTTGTTCTAAGCACAAGAGTGCTTAAAATATATTTTGCATTTTTTGAAAAGCAATCCATTTTTCTCTTGCTACAATAGAGCAACAATTAACATAGTTATCACAAAGGTCTTTCAAGTTTTTTAATCTGCTAATCAGTGGGAAGATACAAGTTAGAAGAAAAGTAAGTTATAAAATAATATCTGTAATTTTATTGAAATTTTTTTAAATATTATATTTTGTAACTTTTTTCATCAGTTAAGTCTTCTTTTTTACAAAAAAACCACCTTGGTAACAAACTGTTTGTTTTAACTTCATGGCGTCTCAAAAGGTATGTAAATTATTATATCTTATTTTAAATGCAATGTGCAAAATAATCATTTTTGAGTCGAGAACAATGACTTTTTGCTGTGCATTGAAAGTGATCAGGGTGAACAATTGATTCATCYGTACCTTTATAAGTATTTGCTATCAGGTTTTTGAAATTTCAGCTTGAGGCAATATGCATTTCATCTGTCTTTTACATTGACTTTACCTAAATTATTAAATGCTGTATCAATTTAAAATTAACTGCATTATGAAAAAAGAGCAATTTATGCCTTACTAGTATCTGTACAGGTGATATTTGTGACAATAGGAAATGTATAAATATTAATATGGTTTTTATTTTTCAGTTTCAAAAGATTTCAGACCTTCAGCTGCTATTGAATCTTGAAGATAATTCTTGGGTGTTGCAAAAAATGAACTTGCCTTTATATGTCTTACTCAAATTGAGGGAAGCATTAAAGAACTACTTAAAAGGTTCAGTATTATTAACATTACTTTTGCACAAAAGATGTTTCATACATACACTACATGTACTTACAATAATTTTCATCTATTGCACAGACAATTCAGATGGTGACAAGAAATCTACACATACTACATGTCTTAAAGAGCTGTCAAAATCAAAATTACTTTAGCTGCAGAAAACAAGTATGGATGCCCAGTTTGCCAATATTCAGTTGAATGCTGTCTGAAAAGGTCAGAGAAACCAAGGTAAATGCTAAAAATTATGTATAATAAGTAAGATACGCTAACTGTTCTAACGTTAAAGTCTAACAGATTGCACTATATGGTGTTCTATTATTGTCCTTGAACAATAATTGAATGAAATGCATGACATAAAGACTAGTCTATAGTCTTATAAGCACTAAGAAGATTCAGACTGGCACTCTGCATTCATAAGTCTTTTCCTATGTATATTTCAAATGATTATCACTGTATCTAGTACTAATCATTTAAATTTTAAGATCTTCTTCAGTATTTTCTTCATGAAATAGATGTTAAAGAAGCACTCAATCTCTTCACTATAGTATTCAGTCTTTTGTATAACATTCCATGAATGTGAATGTCTACAGTTTTCACCTATGTCACAATTATTTTCACTTAATAAACCATTATAATTATTATTATTAGATCAGCCTGTTGTTCAATATGTTAACAAGAGTTTCTTTGTTATTGATATTCATGATTTTACTACTTTATTTGTTTCATCCAATGTGTATTTTTAATTTCATAATTTTTTTATACAAGGATGAAACAGAAGTAGCACAATATTATTCAGATTTTGGACCTGAACAAGTTTATGTTTTATT